CCGAATTAAAATTTGCGCACCTTGTGGCGGTTACGCGTTCGCAGCCAGGCGATTGCGGTACCGATAGTCTACTGTGACAGATTGCATACACGTACTTCTTCGTTTTGGCATTCGTGACCATATATTTGAGAATCTCTCTTTTGTTTAAAATATCACTTTTAAATTTTGGTAGCTGGAACCTGCGTGTCCAAGATCGTGGAAGGGAAACTCGTTCAATTTGGAGATTGCAAGGTAAAATTAAGTTGATATTTTCATCAGGTGTTTTCACAGTTCGATTCTAAACAAGGCTTTGAACAAGAATACACTTTCATGTATAAAGCTACGAGTTTTGGAAGGAAATGAGGCTTTCGATTGGACATGGGCATAACGATTCATGGTTTGGTCTCAATATTTTGCCTCGGATTTGATTTGAAGGATTAACTGATTCGAATTCTGCATGCCACGCAACTAATATCAACAACTTTCGTGTGACTTTACTATTTATTTAATATTTATTTCGCAGGAAAACGATGGATCCGGTGAGACCACTAGTGCATGATATATTTTGAGTTCAATTATATTTATATACGGGCCATCGGTAATATCACTATGATAAACTAGTCCGCTTCTGCACCATCAAGATATGACTCCAACTGATCAAAAACAACTTACCCAACACACGACTAGAGTATATAAATTCTTTTGCAGAAATCGTCACACTGATCAAAAAGAGTCTTAATGAGAAGAGAAAGGCTGGAGGTAATTCATATTTGTGTTTGACAGAATTTCATAGCGCTTGGAATTGAATCTAGATCAAATCTACTAAAGATTTCAAGTATTGAACCCTTGGTGGTTGCTGGGTGATTAACTGAGACACTAGTCCTAGTCGGTTACGACCCCGTCCATCAACAATGCATTCGATTTTGCTATCTGAAACGAATTTGTTCCGCCGTTCTTAGTTTGTCTTATTGGCTATTCTCTCTCTTGAATTAATATAATGCAGTATTTTAAATAAAATATTTAATGACCAAAATAATGTTTTCAGTTAAATGTCACTTCGAATACAATTGGAAATGCTTTCGAGCAGTTGTGTATGGCACAGAGAGCGTCACCTTCAACGATGCAGAATCAATTTGCAAATCAATGAACATCGGACAACCCGCAAATATTTACGACCTCGCGCATCTTCAAATGTTGCTCACTCATCTACGTCCACTGGTACCTGATGGTTTGCCAGTGATTCACATCTGGACTGGAATGGAGTTTAAGGTCAGTTTGAACTAATCTCAGCAGCGTTTACCCGTTTACGTCACCAGGTCAAAAATTTACAAATATTTCGTCCGGTAATTTTTGTTTTACACCTCATTTCAACTACCGAAACAGATTTATAACAGTTTGTTTAATTGTTACAGCACAATCAACTTTTGTTGTCAAGTGGAGGAAATATCACACTCGCAACAGAAGTGTGGTATCCTGGTCCTTATCCGTATCCGGACTCATCGTACTCAAATGTTGCAGTTCTTGTCGATAAATATTCAGAGAAAAAAGATCAGGGAATGTTCAATAGAATACCATACTGGCCAATCAACGGTGTCATTTGTGAAATATAAATTCATCTCAAAACCTGAGTGAACATAGTTGACGGGATTGATTGATATAAAAAGACAAAACACTTTAATGACTTTAATGAATGTGCATAGATAAACGTGTTCTGATATCAGTTTTATCGAAATTTTTTTTGCTTTCCTATGGTCGTTGATTCTATCGATTCTAACCGAGCTATTTTTGGCCCATGTCTGATTATGCATGAATAATAAACAACTCATAGATGATCCAAACTTAAATTACTTTTAAGTGTTATTATATCACACATTTTTGCAATGTCTGTCAACCCGGCATTAAAACATGATTTTATTTATGATAGGAGACTAAATTATGTGCTTATTGAAGCTAAATACCTAATTTTTATTTGTGCATTTTTATTCGTGTGTGATATCAGCCTGTGATCAGAATTAGACAAAATGAAATGTCACTCAAGTATGTTGCCCTGATAAGTAAAACTTGTTTCTATGTATGTTCACTTATATTATTCCTTTACCATTGTGTAACTCATGCTTTGAACTGGTCTTTTGGAATCATTTCCTCACTTGAGCTTATATTAATTCCACTAAATCGCCTATTTTGCAATGTTTGTCTCCCAGGCATTAAAACCTGGTTTTATTTATGAGAGAAGACTGAATTACGTGTCTATGAAGGTTAGACAATTTTCATTTTAGTCACACTGGAATAATTTTTATGTTGAGATGAATCTTGACTTGAGTAAATTACTGAGGGATGGCCATAGGGCAGCACGTCATAGAGGTTATTTAACTCTTACTTGATCTTTAATTCATTCTTACGTATAACAACATCCATAATTTGTTTATCCAACGAGGATATTTTAAAGGATAGGTATAAGGAGAATCATTACTAGGAACTAGCTGACGCGGACTCTACAGCTTAGATCTTGTGCCCATGCAACGTGCTGACGGGTACATGGGCACTATCGGCTCTATTTGCCAATTCATTTACGGTATCATCCGGATGGGCAGCAAGGTCAACCGCAATATATGATGGTAATTGCTGGAAGAACATTTCCTTTAAGAAGGTCTGGCTACAGTTTGTGAAATTATCTGGAAAAATTGCACTGCGAAGCTTCATTAAAATCTCGGACGGTTTAGGGTTATAAAATTGACCATTGAGTATATCGCATATGCGATCTCTGAGTGGTACGGAGAAAGTATTGATCAGAAGTCTCCGCAAGAGTGAATAACACCTGGGATTATGCTTGTCTGGTAGGCGTGGGCGTACTTTCGCTAATTGGCGGTCATTCAAGCATCGAACTACACATCTATGTTCGTAAATATCATCATTGATTCCTACCATACGGATGCCTGCTTTGGTTGATGTGAACCATGCGTCAGGGGAATGAGACCAAAACTCATTAATTTGGAGTGATGGACGCGGTTGATAGATAGATTCAGATTGAGAGCAAACATGATCATTATTATTAAGAGAGCTGGAAATTAGCGTGTCGTCAGCATTTACCAGAGGATCAGACGGATTCATTGCATGTGCTAATTGTTCGTCACTATTAATAATCAAATCGTAAAACGTAAATAAAAACAATTGACTAAAATGCACGCAATAAAATGGTCCGTTAAAAGCTGATATGAAAGTCTTAAAATTGATAAAATCAGTCTGTTCCAGGATTAAAATCTTTAAAAACCTTAGTGTCCAGTTTCTACGATTCTTTTAGGTCGAGTGCAGAAAAAGAGCCCGTCAAATAACGTATTCAAAACAGAAGCCGAAACGTGGCAGCGCGTCACGGGTCATGTGACCCGGGCTTAGGTATCGCTATACTTGTGGGTGTTGTCTGTACGCAACCGCGATCTTAGTGAGAGGTTCGCATTAGAAAAAAACTTTTGATTTACCTATTAGCCATGTGAGAAATAGATTGTATCAAATTCTGGCGTGCTCGCCCTTGTCACAGAAAAGGCTGTTTATCAAACTAATGTTATTGTCGGTGAGTACTGTATGGTTTTGCCAAATACCCCAATGAAGAAAGATGAATATTAGAGATAGACTGGACATATTCTGTATGTCAATGTGTATTTCGTCGTGTGTAAAAATAAACTACTGACTTCCCCACTCTATCTAGATTACTCGAAGCAAAGGTGCTTCTGTCGCTTCTTTGGGTAATTTTGAAGGTGATCTAACTTCTCACGTGGTTACAATGTGAAGTGGTAACGAGAGATAATTGAAGTCCATGGCGGCTACTCTGTGACATTCCCCTGAAAACGTCCCGACAGAAATCACATGGGATGAGACAGCTATGAATTTATTTACTGAGCAAAATATTTTAATGAACAAGCCTACAAATATCAAGCATGGAATACATAATAGTGAAAGAATAATATAAGTATAATAAATAGAAGAAAATTTTACTTATCAAGACTTTCATTTTGTCACAGGCCGACTTCATTGTGGAATGAAAACACCGGTAATTTACTCAAGCCAAGATTAACCTCAATATTAAAATTATTTTTAAATGACTAGAAATGTAAATTGTATAACTTTCATAGACACGTGATTTAGTCTTCTCTCACAAATAAAATCGGGTTGACCACCTGGACGAAAAGACATTAAAAAAATACGCAATTTAGTAGAATCAAAAATTTATTGAGTGGAAAGGTTCAAATAGACCAGGGCCGTGCAACCTGCGACCCGTGGGCCAAAGGCGGCCCTCAAAGAGAAATTGTGCGACCCGTGGAGAGGTGCCAATTTTAAATGATGTGCGGTGCGCAAAACAAGTTTTCAATTTAATTAATCTGACTTCAATTTATTATCTATGCCCTATGATTTTACCATGCATTAACAGCTAGCTTGTACAAACAACGCATCTCACAAAATTGATAACCAATATTTTTGTGTCTGCAACTACAAGATGGCATATGTTAAATAATGGCGCAGCCCGCGTTATTTCTATCTGGCCCTCCTGTATTAAAGGTTTCACACCCCTATAGACTAATTTGAAGAAATGGTTACATATTACTAATAGAATATTATTATAAGTAATGATAAGTAGAAGCAAGTTCAGTAATCAAGACAAACATACTTGTGGGACCTTTCATTTTGTCTAATTCCAATCACAGACCATATCACCAATGAATAAAGATGCACAAAAAAATATTAGTAATTTAACTTCCATAAGCACGTAATTCAGTCTCCTCTCATAAATAAAATCATGTTTTAATGCCTGGGAGACAAACATTGCAATGAGGAGTAATTTAGGTTCGAATCAGCTATGGGTTGTTTAAAATTTATGCGTAATTAGACGCGGGCCAAAAATTACTCGATTAGAGTCGATAGAATCAACAACTGCAGAAAAGCGAACAAACAATATGATAAAACTGATATCAGAATACGTTTTATATATCAATCTGTCCGTCAACTAAGTTTACTCAGGTTTTGAGCTGGTTTTATATTTCACAGATGACGCCGTGGATTGGCCAAGATGGTATTCTATTGAATATTCCCTGATATGTTTGATCTTTATCGACAGCAACACCTACATTTGTCCACGATTCATCGAGATTTGGATAATAAGGATACCACACTTCTGTTGCGAGTGTGATACTTCCTCCACTTGACAGCAAAAGCTGATTGTTCTGTAACAATTGAATAAACAGCTCAAAATCTGTTGTTGAAATAGGGTGTAAACCAGAAAGCACTGGAAGAAATATTAGGAAATCTTCGACCCGGTGACGTAATCAGATAAATCGCTGCTTAGATGTGTGACTTATAAAACTGACCTTATACTGCATCCCAGTCCAGATGTCAATCCATGACCAACCAGCAGGTATCCGTGGACGCAGGTGAGTGAGCAACATCTGGTAGTGAGTGAGGTTGTAAATATTCGCGGGTTTCCCGATGTTCATTGATTTGCAAATAGATTCAGAATCGTTGAAGGTGACGTTCTGTACATCATACGTAACTATCCGGAAGCATTTTGAATTGTATTTGAAATCACATTTAACTGAAAACATTGAATAATTTTTGTTTTTAAAAATGAAAAAGTCTTCAGAAATGACGTCATCAAGTCTGGGATAAAAATTTGCTTTGTTGGTTCAATAAGATTTTATTTTGAAATACTGTATTCTAATAATTCCAGGGAGGGGGAAGTCGATAAGAAGAACTAATAAACAAATCTATTTCAGATAGAAGTTTAGATGTATGGTGGTGGAAGGAGTCGTGACCGACTAGTGGTGGGGTTAATCTCCAGAGACGACTAAGGGTCCGATACTTAAAATCTTGGTAAATTAAATCTAGATTCAAAACTAAGCGCTGTGAAAACCTGCTCTTAACCCTTCTATGAGTGTGGCAGTTTCTTTAGTCAATTTATCAAACAAATAAAGAAATTACTTTCAGTTTTTTTCTTCTCATCGCGACTTTTTTTGATCAATCTGACGATATCTGTAAGAGGAAGAATATATATTTTAGTCGTGTGTAAGGTAAGTTGTTTTCAGTTTCCGTCATATTTAACGTACCGTCATTTTTGTGGGCCATAAGGCTCACCAGGTTATAATGCGCACCACCCCAATTGTTTAGAATGAGTTTTATCTGCATATAATGTGCAACGGGTACCAGTACTAATTTTCAGTGTAGCCAATTAGGCACTACCCGATCCATACATTAGGCATTAGGTACCCGCGTATAAGGTGCACGATCGAATTTTTAGAAAAAAAGAATTTCAAGTGCGCTTTATGGTTCGTAAAATACGGTACACACTTTATATAATTTTATTTAATTCAAGAGTCTTGCTGCACACTAACACAAATGTATTTCTGTAACGTTTCGTCTGATCGGGGTCAGACTTCTTCAGACAAGTGACAGTGTCCAAATTTTATTTAATCTCTCTATCGAAAACAGACCCAACATTTGATACCATTATTTATGTGAACGCTATTGCGTTTCTTGCCACAGTTGTAAAATGCTAATGTTAGTATGCAGCACTCTTGAATTAAATGAAATAGTTATTTTCACGCTTGCTACAGCATCCTTGCCTTATACGCGTACGGATCCAACTGCGCAAGGGCATAGAGCAAGGAAAGGTGGTTAGTTTCACGTAACCTCAACTGTTAGTTACTTTATATAACTTAGCAACTTTGCCCTTTATAATACAGAACGTCGTCAAAAATATCTTTTATAAAATATGAAGCGGACTTGTTTATTGCTGTGACCGATGGCCTAGTAGTTAGGGCGTTAAATCTGGCTAAGTTGGCATCGCATTTTAAACATCTCAGGTTCGAATCCCATGCCCAATATATAACTTAGATTTTAATAAATTGATTCATCAATGACTGTAACGCCAATATCTTGTAGTACAGTTGGTTTTATTCGCTAGGTGGCGGTATTGAGCAGTGAAGCGAATGCCTGTTTCATACTGTTTGCAACACAACACGAAAAGAAAAACATTTTGTGCTGATAATGCGCGTCTTTTGAGAGCAACCATGGTCGCCCGGGGGGTTTGGTAATGACCTATCCGGACACTCTAGGTGGGCAGAATCCGCGCTCCAAAATTAAATGATGATCAATCAAAAAAATTCAGATGAATCAAAAAATGCTTGTTTCTATCAGTGAAGGCCAATAACCTTTGACTCTTGAATATGTTGATTAGCATACGCGTCAGGTAAAACATTGCTTAATTATGAATCAAATGTTCGTTTATTACGAAGTAATTTGTTTTAAACTCAAAATATCATGTAATACGGGTGAACTCACCGGATCCATCGTTTTTCTGTGAAATAAATATAAATGCAGATGATTAGTAAACTGATTATAACACCGAAGTAGTTGATATTAATTGCGTGAGATCAATCTGAGGCAAAATATTTGGACCAAATCATGAATTGTTATATCTATGTCGAAACGAAGAGCATTATATCCTTCCAAAATTTGTAGCTCTATATATATAAGTCCAAAGCCTTGTTTAGACTCGAAATGTGAAAACACCAGATAAAAATACCAACTCAATTTTACCTGGCAATCTCCAACTTGGACAAGTTTCCCATTCACGATCTTGGAAACGCAGGTTCCAGCTGTCAAATATAAAACGTGATTTAAATAATGAAAGAGCAAAATCTAAACGAGTTGGCTGATTGATAGCTGAGTGTGATGAGTTTTGAAATCATCCAGAAATGTCTCTTATTATAACAATAAGAAATAAGAAACTAGGGTTGGAAGGATTGCTAGAAAATAAATCAGTATTTCAAACTCTATCATTGAATTCTTACCGGGCAATTTAAGCTTCGCGGACAAGCCACAGATGAGAGAGATGAAGAAAACAATTTTGACGAATTCCATCTTTTCTTTTAGAAATGTTTGATGACACAACTAACAGCTTATATATAAAGTAAATATCTGTTAAAATATTCATTGAAAGTTATTTTAGGTTCATAACCGCCGTGTTAAAATGCCTTGCTCTGAATTGACCTCATTTGTTGACATTTTATAAATATTTCCTAGAAAAAGTAAATTTAACAATGACACAGAGCGAACGAAACTCATCATTGAGTGAGTGGCAAGAAATCAACTGCTACACACTGCATTCTCACAAAAGTTCGTTCTCGCAAAACTACATTCCCCCGAAAGTCCGTTCTTGCAAAACTGCATTTCCGCGAAAGTCCGTTCTCGCAAAACTACATTCCCGCGAAAGTCGGTTCTCGCATTATTGAGTTTTATGTTATTTCATAGTTTTTGAATTTTCAAATTCAGTTTCCCAGATCTTTCTTCTAGGAACATGAACTGTTGATTTTAAGGTTTGAATGCAGGGCAGATGTATCTGCTCAGTGGCATATTCATGTGATTTTTCTATTTTCTGAATCATCACTAGATAAAGCAGAGGCAAATGAAATGCAAAGCGAATATGAAAATCTCTTACAGCGTACGTACTAGATGAAGCATAGGCAAATGAAGGGAAAAAAATGCAAAGCGATTATAGAAATCTTCTACAGCCGCAGGTACTAGATGAAGCAGAGGCAAATAAATGAAATAAATGCAAAGCGATTATGAAAATCTCTTACGGTCGCAGGTACTAGATGAAGCAGAGGCAAATAAAGGAAATGAAATGCAAAGAGATTATGAAAATCTTTTACAGCCGCACGTACTAGATGAAGCAGAGGCAAATGAAGAAAATGAAATGCAAAGTGATTATGAAAATCTCTTACAGCCGCGCGTTTTAGATGGAGCAGAGGCAAATAAAATGCAAAGCAAATATAAAAATTTCTTACAGCCGCACGTACTAGATAAAGCAGAGGCAAATGAAGAAAATAAAATGCAAAGCAAATATGGAAATCTCTCACTGCCATACGGACTAGATCAGTAGTTCTCAAACTTTTCGAGCCGCGCCCCCCTTGAAAAATTTTACAAACTTCGCGCCCCCTCCCTTTTTTGTTTGAAAACATACTTTTGTGATGGGCAGGTTGCTATATAGCAAGATGCGATAAGAGTGTTGGTCTTATAGCGTCATTGCTCAGATTGTTTGGGCATGAAACGCTTCGGAGTACAACTTCGCCATTCACTGTCGTATGTATGAAGCCAAATAGTGGCTGGTAGTGATGTACCAAATATTGATGTATTTTAATTGTACTAAATCAAATATACTTTCTGGGATATTATACCAGATCTTTCTAATGACGACTACGAATTCGCAAAATCAGAGGCAAATGAAGAAAATAAAATTCAAGCGATTATGAAAATCTCTCACAGAGCCGCACGTACTAGATGAAGCAAAGGCAAATGAAGGAAATAAAATGCAAAGCGATCATAAAAATCTCTTACGGTCGCAGGTACTAGATGGAGCAGAGGCAAATAAAGCAAATGAAATGCAAAGCGATTATGAAAATCTCTCACATGCAGTGGTTCTTAACTTTTGCGAGACTGCCGAACCCCTACTTCACACTGTGAGCTATCGTCGAACCCCAATGTTTTGAGCAGTTAAAACTAGGGCGCAATCAGAACTTTCTCAAGGGATAATTTAATTACTTCTAAATTTTTCTGATTTCCAACTTGTGCATAAAATCGAGCTACATTTTATTGATAGATTATGAATTTGAACGTTGACGAAAATTTTCAACTCAAAATCATGAGGTTTGCCACAACAATCTTACCTAAGCTGAAAGCAACTTAAACGCTATCACGCAGAAGCACAAAAAGCGTGCAACATCTGTGGCAATACAACGAGTTTTTGATGAACTGGAATATAAATGAAAGCCGTCATTGACAGTTCAAAAAAAATTTGTATCTGCGCGAAACTGCACGTAGTAAAGCCAGACGTAGAAATTTGAATATCTGCATTGAAATATTGTAATTTTTGCGTGAGTAAAAGACTAGGCAATGGAAAGACTTTCATGGCGTAGAATTATCTTAGAGGACGTTTGTCGATCTCCAGGAAGAACCCTACCGCACCCTAAGGGTTCGATCGAACAAAGGTTTATTAAGAAACATTGTACTAGATAAGGCAGAGAAAAATGAAGAAAATGAAAAGTGATTATGAAAATCTCGCACATACGCACGTACTAGATGAAGCAGAGTCAAATGAAGGAAATAAAATGCAAAACAAATATGAAAATCTCTCACAGCGCACGTACTAGATGAAGCAGAGTCAAATGAAGGAAATAAAATGCAAAACAAATATGAAAATCTCTCACAGCGCACGCACTAGATAAAGCAGAGGCAAATGGGGGAAATGCAATGCAAAGTGATTATGAAAATCTCTCACAGCGCACGTACTAGATGAGGCAGAGTCAAATGAAGGAAATAAAATGCAAAACAAATATGAAAATCTCTTACAGCCGCACGTACTAGATAAAGCAGAGGCAAATGAAGGAAGTAAATGCAAAGTGATTAGCCCTCTGGATATTTTCTAACGTGACGCGATCCCTTTCACGATATATGCTAAATTTAAAATTAGTATGCCCTACAAAAGAAAGGATATTAAGCTTTAATTCGTTTTCTGCGTCATTGGACACGTAGTGGACACAGTGATCATTTTGTTGTTATGTTATTCTTAGTCTTGTTGTTGTTTTTTGACACGTTTTGAAGAAAACGCTTTTCTCTTTGATGACTTGACCCATTGCTTTGAAATTTTTAGTGGTTAAAAATAGAATTTTTCTCCAGAAGGCTATTACGGCTATTATTTTTTCCCGCTATGACGTCATCAAAATTATGTGGCTCTACGTGTCCATATATTTGAGTATAGCTCTCTTGTCTTGAATCAATTCATATATATATATACTATGAATTATTAAATTACCCCGTTATCCCAATAATTAAATTTTTTATACCGGTCTTTGAGTGGATTATCACTACTATTTGCTGAGTATCGTACTTCAGGCTATTAGGTCAATTTACAAATGAACGAAATAGTATGCAAAGTGATTTTGAAATTTGCATTCTACAGTTGTGGTATATAATTCACAAAAATACGAATCGCAGAGTAAAATGATCACAATTAAATTAATATTAAAGCAAGGCGATGAATATTTTTTATTTTTATTTACTAATATACTAATTATATTTTTAATAAATACTAAATCAAGTTGTACTTTCTAGAAATTTATAGCAGATAGTAGGATTTTTCTAACTGCGATAACAAATTCGCAAGATCGCAAATAATTTAAATCAAAACTAAATATAACCGGGCAATATATTCTCACATTATTATGTTGGCAGATTGCCGTGGCATTTAAAGAAGTAATGCTTTCATCTTGTCATAAGTCAACGCAACCGCGAGTGACCATGAACACGATTAAATTAAAATAGGAAAACATTTTAAATTCTTGTCGTTGTCAAGGATTAAATTTGTGCGACAGAAAGGGCCATTTATACACCAAAGAAGTCGGCCCTTTTAACGAAGGCGTAATTGCGTAGCATTTCCGATTTTGAAAATCGATCGGAAAATAGTCCGCGACCAAAAAAGGTTGGGAAACGCTGGTATAAACTAACGCGCAATCCCACATGATATTGGTTTATAGTAGTGGTTCTCAATCACCATTCGCCTATTTCAGAACCTCTTATTCCTCCGTCAGTATGCCCAAAAACTACGTAATTTGTTCAATATTTGGATTTAATTTAAGCTAAATTTTTTCGCCAGCTGATATTTTTTTGAAACTCCACTTCAGGACGTTGACTAACAAGCTCGAATGGCATCTGGGTAAACTTGGCCAATTATTACCTGCGCCTGCGTATAAACGCTGACGGTTACCAACATGAAAGAGCATTATATAATAACGAGATACCATATCTTTTTGGAACCCGTTTCCCGGGCCGGCCATATGTGCGCATGCAATTTAGCTTGCTAAAATATCGCTGTTCCCTAAGTCTGAGCTCACGGACCATTTGATTTTCATTTCATTTTCTGTGCGGTCACTGCGTGTTCTGCTCTCAATGTGCTCTGAGAGGCGGTGTTCGCGATACCTTCGTTTTTAATCAACTTAACAGTGATCATCTGTGACGTAATAGAAAGAAGTTAAGAGTCATTGTTGAAATAACACGTTTTTATTGGCTGAATATAAACCAATCAATGTGCAATAAAATTGAACCAATAAGAACCCAATGAATAAATTGCAACATAATACAGGTTAATAACGGTCTTCAACCTTTTTACCGTGGTTTACCTTTTACAATTTTTTTTTTCCTAAATAAGTATTGAAGTTTAAGCAGAGATTGTAAAAAACTAAAACTGAAGATACCGCAATATCACCATGCAATCCAATGAGCTACTGTCCACAAGTTTACGTTCTAAATTTGACTGGCGGCCCTGGCGTCAACGGGAATAATGTTCAACGTTAATCAAGCGACGTGCATGACAGCCAAAATCATCAACCCGGACACGTGCCTGCATTATTTCGTGTATATGACATTTTATATTTCATGTTCGTCGCGTTTGCATTGTTGTCTCTAAATTTATTATCATATATAGATATATATATCATAGTTTAGAATTCCTGATGCTTCAGGCTGTTCACCCTTCGTAGACCGTTTATCAGATGAGTACCCTACTTATGGTCCGATATAAACTTGGGTATGCCGTATTCCCGGTTGAAGAACACAGTTTTAAGGCTTGAATGCCGGGAAGATGTGTCTGTTGAGTGGCATATTCATGAAACTTTCTAGTTTCTCAATCATCACTAGATGTAGCAGAGGCAAATGAAGGAAACGAAATTCAAAGTGATTATGAAAATCTTTTACAGTCGCACGTATTAGATAAAGCAGAGGCAAATGAAGGAAATAAAATGCAAAGCGAATATGAAAATCTTTTACAGCCGCACGTACTAGATAAAGCAAAGGCAAATGAAGAAAATAAAATGCAAAGCGAATATGAAAATCTTTTACAGTCGCACGTACTAGATGAAGCAGTGGC